TTAATAAAACAAATTGAAGCTGAGATAAAGATGAGTGATAAAGAAACAAGGGTTGCAGAAGTAAGGAAGGATAGCACTAAGAAGACTGAGCATGTTGGAGAACAATCTGAGAAACAAGGGAGGGCTACTGAGCACCAAGGTAAAGAAACTGAGCACCAAGAGAGGGAAACTGAGGAGCATCAGAATGTTGAAGAAACAAGCAAAGGTGGCAGTAAGATGACTGAGAATGTTGTAGAAGAATCTGAGCACCGAGGGAGTGAACCTGAGCAGCAAGGTATTGAAACTGAGCAACATGATAATGTTGAAGAAACAAGGAATACTAGCAGTAAGACAACTGAGGAGGTTGGAGAAGAATCTGAGCAACAGGGAAGGGAAAATGAGCAACAAGGTAGGGAAATTGAACAAAATCAGATTGTTATAGAAGTACAACAAGGAGCTGCACAGAGAAATAATGAGAAGAAAAGAAAGAGAAATAATGCAGGCTCAATTAAGAAAAGTACAGAACAAGGAAATTCAAGCAAAGAGAAAGAGAGCAAGGAAGTTAGTCCAAAAAGAAGAACTACAAGATCAACAACTTCAGAAGCAACTGAAAAGAAAAATGATGAAGTTCAGAAAAAGAAGAAAGAAGTTCATGCAAAGAAGAAAATAACAAGGGAAGCAGAGTCAATAAAAGAGAAGAAGCAGAAGATAAAGAAGAAGAAAGCAGAAGAAGAGGAAGAATTTGAGGAGGACGAAGAGGAGATAGAGAAGGAAGAGAATGCAAAATACCCAAAGCTGTGGACAAGAATGTCTCCGAGTAGTATAACAGAAATAATGAAAAATCTAAGTGCAGAACAGAAGAAAGAGGTGGTTGAGATGGGATTTGGCCCCTTACTGAACCTTGAAGTGAAGCAATTGCCAATGCAGTTGGCATATTGGTTGCTGGACAATTTTGACAGCAGAAGTGTGTCTCTTCTTCTGCCAAACAATGAAAGGTTGAGGATTAATGAAGATGGAGTGCACGTGACATTGGGGTTTCCAAAAGGAAAGATTAATGTGAAGAATTTGATTGACACTGAATCTGAGAATACATCACACATGGTGGCTAATTGGAGATCACAATTTCAGACTGAAAATGGAGTTGTGAAGACTGCTCAAGTGAAGAAGGTTATAGAAGAAAACAAAGCAGGCGGAGTATGGTTTAAAAAGAATTTTTTGGTTCTCCTGGTAACGTGTTTGATTGAAGGGAAGCAAAATTGCTTTGCCAATCAAAGCATTCTGAAGGCATTGCAGGATGATTCAAAAATCAAGGATCTGAATTGGGGTGGATACACTTTGGAAACATTAATTGAAGCAAAGGACTATTGGAGCAAAAATAGAGAAAGACAGTTCCCAGGGCCTTTATTATTTCTGATTGTAAGTTACAAATTCTTAATGTTGTTGCTCATTTTTACCACAATATTACTCATATCCTCATATACACTACACAATTCTAAAATCTCATAAAATATGTAGGTGTTCTATGTAGACAACATTGTGTTCAAAGGCAGAAAAGTGGACAGAGCATTGCCATCTATTATTGGCTGGACAACACAAAAGCTGAACAAATGACAGAAGGAAGAAATTGAAACTGGAGGTTTTGGATACGGATATATAGATGAACCTAACAAAGGGGAATTGATAGTTCCAAAACTGATCACAAATGAAGAAGAAGCTGAAATCCAGATTGAGGGAAACAATAATCAGGAGCCAAAGAAGGTAAGGACAGTATTATGTAATTTTAACAGAAACAATTGGGTAAATATATAAATGATAAGTATGATATCTAGATATGAGTATTTAGTACAAAGTAATGAGTGCATTTAAGAAGTTAAATAAAAAAAAGATAATAAATGTGTTAAAAATATGGGAAAAAATTCTAAAGACTGAATAAATTAAACTAATAAACATATATGCTTCATTCAATTATTTTAGTATAAACTCAATAATAACATAAAGAATGCTCAATTACTGTTCTAAATTAATCATTAAATAACTGCAGGATATTATGAAGGAGTTTGCTGCAGCAGCGAAGAATTTGGCAGAAAGCATGGCCAATTTTGATGAAAAATTTCAACAGGCTGCAAAGGTGTTACCTGATGATGAGACAATGAAGATTTTAATGGGAAAAGTCCATGGGCTTTTCAACACATATTCATCAGAAAAGGAGAAAGAAAAAGAAAATGAAACCGAAGTGTCACTGACTCCAGATGATGGATTCTGGACTGAAGAAGTGCTCAAAGCAGTTGAAGCTATTGAAATGGCTCAGAAGAAAAGAGTTGAGAGGCCAACTTTTACTCAGTATGAAAAGCCAAGCTTCAAGTTGCTTTCACAGGAGTCAAATGATGGGGCTAATACATATGGGGATGATGATAAGCATCATCATGACATAATTGAGCAACATGGCAATGAAATTGAGCATGCAGAGGATGGTCCAAGTGAGCAAATGAATAAGGATAATGACAATGCTGAGGATGTTAATGAGGATGAAGAGGAATCTGAAAAGGAAGAATGTGAAGAAGAAAGAGACAGAAGGTTTAGAAAGGGTAAGCAAGTTGAACAATATCACATTGAACCAAAAGAGAACAAAGTGGAAAGAGAAAAAAGAGAAACAGCCCCAGCACCTGCTGTGAAGTCCCCATTCATGAACAGAAGTATAGATGCAAGGACAACACTTGGCAGTGAGGAAAGACTACTTGCAGGTTTTGTGTTCAATGATCATTGTGACAAGAAGTAAGTCGCTAAGTTTTTCTTAATCATTTCGTTTAATATAATGCACATTTAATATTTGAAGGTTACTCATTTTGATATAATAATTCTTTTCAAACAGTGTTGTGGTGTTCAAGCATTACAACTTCACTCTTTCAAAAGCTCAGATGGAAACAATGAAGAGCAACACAAAAGTTGATGCTGGAATTATAGATATATGGGCAATGTTGCTTAATCATAATGAAAAGTTCAAAAGCCCTGAAGCTAAAAGCAGAATGATTTTCTCAACAAGACCATGTGTAAGAAGTACATATTCATTTACTTAGTATTACTAAAATGAAACTAATATATTATAATATTTAATGACAGCATGTGCTAGATCAAAATCATCTCACCGCTCCACAAACAAGGAACAAAAGGTTTGCGGCAGAAATTGGCAAAGAATTTCCCTGTGCAGATGGAAATAAGTTGAGGTCAACAGACCTATTCATATTCCCAGATGAATACAATGGGTGCTACTATATGATGTGCTTTGACTTGAAGAGCATGAAGTTCTACATCATTGATAGTAGCGACGGAGATATAGCTCCTGCAGTCAAGTACTTGTTTCAAATGTCATACCTGGTAAATGTTTTATATATTTCTTTTTATTTTATCACATATGGATAAATAATGTGATGATTTAGTATATGAGTAATGTGCACTTGATAATTGAGCAACTACATAGACAATATGTGCATGAACATAAGAATATGTATAATTCTGTTTTTGAAATTTTTAACTACAGAGAAGTGGATTTGTGAAATTTCTTCGAGATCAAAAACACCCAAAGGCAGATAAGGTTGTGAAGCTGAAGGAAGAAGTGGTTAAAATGCATTGGAGAAACAAGAAAAACAAAGCCAATGAGGGAGTTTATTTGATGAGGCACATGGAGACATTTTATGGTGACACAGCATGGGAGTGTGGATTAGATAAACAAAGTGTAAGTCCAAAGTTGTTTAATATAGTTTTCAAACACAATAATTATGTGAAAACTTGAATATCTAAATTATAATGTTTGTACAGGAAAAACCAATTGAGATGCTGCGGATTAAGTACTTGCATGCAATAGTAACATCTGATAAGAATGAGATCAAGAAGAACATCATGGAACAAGTGAAGAAACACAATGTGTATATCTAGAAGATTTGTAATGCTATTGATGATTGTGGGCGTTGATGAACATATTGTTGTTTTTTAATTCATGCTAAACAATATTAGTATTTGGGACATATGATATTACTATTAAGCTTGGATGACAGTAGTCATGTTAGTAATATTAAATAAGGACATATGCTTATGGGAAGTTCATATTATTGATCATTATTAGTAAGTTCTATGCTCATTTCCTTGCTTACTTATACACATTTTAAGGTATTAATGATAATTACTAGTAAGTACTATTCTCAATTCATTTATTACTTATACAAAATTTTAAGGAGTGAGCTTTTAAATTTAAATTCTTTGAGTGTGAAAGTAAGACAATGTATTAATTCATTAAATAAACAGTGCGGGGGTGTTTTTTCCAATTATTCGTAATGTATTTATAATGGTATGAGTCTTCACTACGAAATGAAATAGATAATTTAAAGTTTTTTTTGGGAAAAATATGTATATATTTGTGTTCATTGCGAAATAGTAATTATACACATTCATGATGATTGTAATATTGATTGCTGACATCTGTATTTATGAAGTTTATATTAATACTCATTATTAGTAGCGTAAATGCTCATTTATTACTTAGTATACACAATTTGAAGACTAATCAATTGAATTTTAGAACATTAAGTATGAAATTACGTTATACAAATTTTCTTATAAAAATTATATTTAATTTGAAATAGTAAACACATAATTTAGTGAGTCTTGCATTCAAAATGCATTAACTAAAAAATTATATTTACTTCTATACTCATTTTGTTAACACGTGGTACTCATTGAAGCACAAACAATTACTCAAAAGAAGATTAGATCAGAGGAATGTATGATTACAAAAAAGTAAAAACTACAACAAAAACATAGAGGAACAAAATGTAAAGTCTAAAAGTGAAAATAACTGAAACTAAAATGATGATAAAAGATAAAAGATGTTCTTTTTTGAATAATATAATAAGTATGTAAATAAAAAAACAAAGCTTTTAAGAATGTTTACACATTTCAAGGTTCAATATTCGAAGTACTAGCTGCAGTTGAATTGTTCCTTCCTTGGACTTTAAGGTTCATATTTCAGAGAACATTTATAATATTCCAAAGCATAATTTTAAATGATTAACATACAGCTACGGTGTGAGCATCAACACAAAAATGTTGAGTAATAAAAAAACCTGACACCAGTCATTAGTAAACTAGTGAATATAACAGTATTACTACATAGCTATTGGAAAATCAAACTACAAATTTGCTTGATCAGTTTCAGATGTACTAGCTTGACGTGACTTCTTCTTTGCTCTAGCTTGATTTGTTTTGATTTCAATAAGACTCTTGCGACGGACATTTCTTTCACCCTTCTTCCTTGAAGACTTTGGATTAGATATTGCTGAACCCAAACCAGCTGTAGAAGATTCACTATCTGAAAAGTAAATACTTCCAACTTGCTCTTCAACATCCACTTTCAACTTTGTAAAAGATTCTTCACAAAAATGCCTTGCTGCAGAATTAGAATCACTAGAGCACAAAAGCTTGTGAAATTTCTTTTGCATTTGCATTCTCCAAACAGAAGGTAAAACATTAGAAGTCCCAGATGAGGCATATATTTGTTCAGTTGGAACACACTTTGCACTACGCGTCCAACGTTTCAGAACATAACAATCCGGTATAACTTCTACACAGTGAATATGATATATACGAAGAATATGACAACACAAAATACCAACTTCTGAGAATTTCTCACATGAACATTTAACAAAATGTGTTGTCATATCAAAAGAAACCCAATGTGAAAATATATCTATTTGAGGCATCCATACCAAATATGACATCAAAGAACCTTGTTGATGTCTAAGTTCATATTTCAGGGACATACCTCGTAGAAATTCTTTCTCAAACAGTTTATACGCATCAATCGTGTAGACCTTGGAGGCTTTATGTAACAAACCAACAAAAGGAATGGCAATTTCCGGAAAACCATCCCAACAACGTTGCTGATCTTTACCCTCATTACTTCTCCATTGACTCACACTTTCACTGAAAAAATGGTAGAAGTCACAAAGACACGAGTTTGCATTCAGTTTTCTAGATATTGAGTTATTCGTGGACTCGCTTCGTTGTGAAGACAAAATTCCAGCAGAAAAGAACTGCTTTGAAAAAGCTGGTGTCACGCCCCGGACCTATCCGGACACGTCAACAATCCGCCGTACAGTACGAATAGTCAACCGCAGTCCAACACATTCATACTATACAAGGCGTCTGGGATATCATTCACACATAGTACATCCATAAACAAACATAATGTAAAATATTCATTCAAAGCAGCGGAAACATTTAATATAAGTGTTTGTGCCACACTTTGGCAAACATGGGCATACAAGCCCCCAAATGATTATTCAAAAATATAATATCCATGAGCATTAACTTAAATGTTTTTTTAAAACAGAAACGGAGGAAGCACGAACCACGTCTTCTTCTCCTGAATTCTCCCGAAGCAACGGCACTGGTAGCAACCTTCAAGTTCTACCTGAAACTGTGAGGTGGCCTCCCCCGTGAAGGGGAGGTCAGTACTTGGAAGCATTTGACAAGTACAATGACAACTATACTAAATATAATCAATGTTTCAATTTCCAAGACCCTCAATCTAGGGTGTTATTGTATCATGATTAACTTTATTCGTCTAGTGTCAATTCATCATTACTTACCACGGTCTAGAGCCCAGCTCAATAATCACCGTTACCTACTACGGTCTAGAGCCCAGCTCAATAATCACCGTCATCTACATCGGTCTAGAGCCCAGCTCAATAATCACCGATAACTACTACGGTCTAGAGCCCAGCTCAATAATCACCGTTATCTACATTGGTCTAGAGCCCAGCTCAATAATCACCGATAACTACTACGGTCTAGAGCCCAGCTCAATAATCACCGTTATCTACATCGGTCTAGAGCCCAGCTCAATAATCACCGATTCTTTACAATTCAATTTCTTAGGATCCATTCATCCATTATTCAACTACAATTCCAACTAATATTTCAATACTAGTTATTTACTCATTTCAATGAAATTCTTCATTCAATGTGTAATTTGGCCTCAATATCAAAATACCACTCTTATTCCTTCATGGCTTCTTCTCATGAAATAAAAGTATACTTATCACAAATGGGATTTATGGTTGATACTACTATCATGCCATCATATTCATAACATTTAGACATACACAATTTATTCAATAAATTTGTATATTATGCAACCTATACTTATAATCAATAATAATTTCATTTAGGCATTATTAACCATTAATAATTCATGCCTATCACATTGTATGTTCATTTAGGGAATCTCATGAAATTAACCCAAAGATTATAAGCAATATAGTCGGTCATCCTCACCTTAAGTGAGCTTAGGCGCGATCTACGTTTCCCGATTGAACTTTGACGAACTTTGACCAACTCCGGCCAACTTTGACCAACTCCGGCGAAACTCCGGCGAAGCTCAAAGATACTCTAAATCAAGTTCCTAACAAGGTTTTAACATCATAAAACCTTAATCAATACACATAACCTCTAAAAGGTTATTTTCCGGTGAACTTGTCGGTTTGGCTTCTAAATCCATTTTTTTGACATAGAACCACCTTCCAACCCCTTGTTCCACATTTATCAACATGTAGAACAATCCTAGGGTTCTTCATAATTTCTCAAATAATAATATATTCAAGAAAAATAGGAGAAAAAGGTAAATGAAGTCATTACCTAGCCTTTCCTCAAGTTTTGTACACTTTTGGAACTTAAACTTTTTCCTAGAGCTTCCTTCTTGTTGGAGCTTTCTTCAACAATGGAGAGGGAAGGTGGAGAGTTTCTTTGCTCTTGGTGGGTGAAGGTTGGCCGCAGGAAATGAGGGTGAGGGGTGAGGGGGTGTTCTTTTGTCTAAATGAGCAAATGGGTGTGGATGGGATCCACCTCATTTTGTTTGATTCTCATTCTCTCAAATCACACTTCCTCCCACATGCCTCCCTAGCATACCAGCCGACCAAGGCCTTGAAAAAAAATAGGCTAAATTCGTGGGTTGGCCCCCACCCATGTGGGAGGTCAACCCTTTTTGTCCAGAAGTGTACAATCAGTCCCGAAAGTTGTATTTTTCGGACTGTTTTAGTTTTATTTTATTTTATCGGGTCAAATAAAATATATTATGCGTTCTCAATCATTATTACCCTTAAAATGAATATACATTTCCCAACTTTAATTTATAGGTCTCCGAAATCCAATTTCGGGCTCTTATCGGTTAAATTACCAATACCGGTATTCGGGCCTCTTTTGACCAATCGGTCAACTCTGGGCCTTTCCATGGCTCAAATGAGATATAAACCACCATATAAATATTATCTAGACCAAGATGAATAAAAATATATTGTCCCGGGGATATCGGACGGCCCCCGCTCCCGGTGTGGGCCCCACGTGCGAATTTACTATAAAAATTCACAACCTCGTATACTCATTAACCGTTCTACAAGGTTCAATACATTATTCACTTAAAAGTAAAATACATTTAGGGACGGTGTTACAGCTGGACACCATTTCTCTCTCATCTCGTACAGTTTGGTCAACCAAGGATTATCAGAACATTTGTATTCACAAACCATCCTGCAAAATATGAAGCAAAATACTCATTTAAAAAACACTATTACTCATTACAGATAAGCAGTTTGCTCAACAAGAAGGTATACTGTAAATGCAGAAAACATAAAAGGAAGTATACGAACAATGAAAAATACCTATTCCAATAATGATCAAACTCTGCAACAGTCTGACCGAGTTTCAAAACATGATCAAATAAAGCCAAAAAGCCTTCGTCATTCCTCAAATCTCGTATATGTTTTTTAGAATTTTCAATTATGTGCCATATACAAAGACGATGCCTTGAAGAAGGAAAGACTTTAACTATTGCAGCAGACATGGCGGATGACTGATCTGTCATAATAGTTTTCGGATGCACAAAATCCATTGAATTCAGAAAAGTAGTGAAAAGCCATTCAAAAGATTCAATTCTTTCATTGAGAAGAAATCCACAACCAAACATGCATGTATGGGTATGATGGTTAATTCCTACAAACGGTCCACATATCATATCGTATTTATTAGTACGATAGGTCGTATCATGAATAACTAGCTCACCAAAAGATAGATAATCTTCCTTCATTTTTTTTATCTCTCCAAAAGAAATTGACTAAAGAACCATCCACATCTATCTCAAAAGAGAAGAAGAAATCTTCTTCATTTGACTGCCTATTCTTAAAGATGTTAATCAGGGTATTGGCATGAGAACCATCAAAAGATTTCTTGACCTGTTTTGTCAATTTGTTATATGCATCACGCAAGAGAAAACCAACCGAAGGAGATCCACCTGCTTCCGCTTGCAAACATCGAAATCCATCAGCTATCTTGACTCCTTGTTTTTTCAAATGATGCAAGTAATCTAACTCATTAGAAGAAATAGAACGATGAGATCTAACGTGATGAACTAATGAGTTTGGACAAAACTGATGATTATGGTCCATAAGGTGTCTGACAACAACCCACTCACCGCTAGATTTTATCTCAAAATAAATTCGTGCCTTACAATTAGTACGAATGTCAACTTTTGTGAATTGCTTCCCATCAACGCCTTTATTTTTTTTTAAGCCTTGTTTAGTGCAGCAGAACTCCCTTCCCCTAAAGCCAGAACCACCATCCCTCTTTCTCAAAGTAGAGTACCTAACTCCAAAACCAATCCGAAAAGCATAATCATTATACAATTGAAATGCTTCTTCCTCTGAAAATACAGTTGTACCAAGCAACTCAGAAAATTCAGTTTCCTTCACTAATATGGTTTCAACAGAAACAGGATCATGACAAACTTGTACAGTCTCAAAACTAGATGAACGTTCAGCTGCAAAAAATAAATAAAGGTAAAATAAACTAAAGATATAAAATTCCAGTAAAAGAAAGGGAAACAATGTACGTAAGAAATGAGCAATACTTGGTCCGAAAGAAAGAGATTCTGTTGCACAAACAAGATTTTGGTCTTCACTGAAATTAACAGCAGAATCCAAGAAATCTAGATGAATGGAAAAACATTACAAGAACATCACAAAACAAAATTCAAAATATAAACAGATTGATTAAAGAAGAACAAAATGTATGAGTTGCAATTAGAAAGTATATTACTGGATTGAATGCCAACAATTCCGCCTCCAGAATCTATATCCTCAATTAATCTTCCACGGGGAGAAATACAATCTGCACAGAGTAAAAACAAAACAAACAAAACAAATGTAAACTCAAAACTGATCAACTAAATACTCAAAACATATCAACTAATGTAATGAATTAGTTCATAGAATAAGTACCTCCAAAATCAGCCATATGGTCGATAAGAATCTAAAACAGAAAAAAATTGAACTGAAACAACTTATAATAGTTATAACAGTAGCGACAACGTATAACAATACAACCAAAAAATAAGTTGAGTAAAAATAAAGATGATTACAGGAAAAGATAACTTCGACGAAACAAAAAAGAATTTGAAACGGAAGAAGGAAAAAACATATAAATGTAAAACGGCAAAGAAAACTACTTACCTAAATCGATCAGTGAAGTAAAATCGAAACTACGAATGGAGAAAGCTGCAGAAGAAAACCGGGAAGATCGATAACAAATAAACAGAAGAAGGACCGGAAGAACCGATCGAAGAACAAAATCTATGGCATTGCTACTAAGAAGCAATCCGCGGAAGAAGATGAAAGCTGCGAGACGACGACCAAAGGGAAAAAGCGAACAAAGGGAAAAAGAAGAAATAAAGAGGATAGAAGTTGCAGTTTATTACAAAATTACTTGGCTGTACCAAGAGGAAGGTACAGCCGGGTGTACCATATAAATTGCGCACGACGCCGGCATGTATCCGGTCAAGAATATCAGTCCCTTTGGGCTGCCCATCTATGCCACCGCACACCTTCGTCACCGGATACCCTGGCGGCGCGTTATATTGAGCGGTTGACGCGTACATACCCCCCAAGTGATTCTTGAGAACCTCCGCGTCGTCGGACGAATTTAATTTTCTAATACAAAGGAAAGTTGTTAAATGTCCCACACCGGAAAAGTTTGGATGAACAAAGTGTTATATTAACACATGGACTCCTAAGAGGAGTAACTCATGCGTTAATATAGCACTTTGTTCATCAAACTTTTCTGGGACATTTAACAAAAGTTGTGTTAAATATAATAAACATTCAGCAATAAGTCTCACTAATAGCTTAAGGAAATTGTGTATATTATTGTAAGTAGTTCTCGGCAAAATGGTTTGATATAACTTTTGTATTTTTATGAGACTGTATTTTACTCCGTAGTAAAGAGCCTTTTTGTATCTCTTCCACATTATCAAAAGTTCCGTATAAAAACATAAAAATGATCAATGACGACTCAATGCCAAACATTTTCCCCAAGTATGTGTGAATGTAGAAGGAAAAACATGTTCCTAATTATAAGTTGGGTCGAACTATCTTTATTTACTTAGTAAACTAGTGATCGATTGGAGTAAAAGTTAAAATCGAATATTTTCCTTTAATTTGCTTATTCGACGTGCCAAAAAGTTAAGGAGTGCTTGGCTATATAATGACCATTTAAATTAAGGAAGGGTTGATAAATGATAATTATTCAACTTGCGTAAGCCTGCTTACTCTAATCATCAATCTGATGACTGCATAACCCACTTGGCTAAATAATAATTGTAGCGAATTAAAGAAGATTTATTACTTGCAAAGATTGAATTTGCGACTTAGGATCCTGAGACCGTTTTGAGTGGAGGCATATTTGTCAATAGCTGACCATGATTTCCTTATTGTTTGATAGCAGCTCTCACTCACTTCCTGCAAATAAAATGGCTATACTTAGAAGCTAAAATCACTTGGAACTAATTACATAAAGATTGTTTATAAAAATGTAACTTGTGACTAGAGTAATAATAGAATCATAGTAACTTTCCTAAAAAGTAATAAAAGTAGGGGTATTTTCTCAAAAACTTTCCTTAAAGGGAAAGAAAGACAAATAAAAAAAAGCGTCCTAAAAAGGAAAGAAGGACTAATAAAAAAGAACGGAGAGAGTAGTACTGAACAATATGAGTCTATTTGAACCCTGTTTTTTGTTTACCAACTTTATCAGCCAATTGCTTTTTATTTTACGTATAAAATTAGTGTTATTTTTTGTTGAATTGACTGAAATTATTACCCAAAATTATTTTTCATTTAATCACGTAGTGACTTGATACATACCCTGAAATCTTTGGAGACAGTTGAAAAGTATGCATCTTGTGGGGTGATATTATCAAAGTAGAGAATGGGAGCTGATGATGCAAAGGCGCCGAGAGCAATATGAGGATACTTCAATCGAAACCAAGCCGCGAGCACTTCAAACAAATTTAGAAAATAAAATTTAAACTAAAATAAATGCAAAAGGTATACTACTGATGTTTTTACTTGGACTGGTCTGGTCTGGAACAAATTACGTAGAAGTATAATTAAACTAAACTTCACCTCATGCATTTAAATGTTTAATCGTCATTATATTTTTGCCTAACCTCAATTTTTCTATGGTATTACTTTTTCAAATGAAAGAACCAGAATACAATTAAATAATTTATAAATAAATGATAAAATAATGGTTTAAATCAATCAAATGCACGATAGCTTGATAGAGTACTTTCATTTTTTATGGGTTCGGTAGCATTCACGACTTTCAATTATTCTACTTTCTAAACTTCAAAATTCTGAAAATTTCAAAATTTATATTTTCTGATCTTCATCTAGTCCTGTGAATATTTGCACTGAAAATTTTTTATTCTGCACGTTTTTCACATATGTTTTGCACATATTCACTAGTTATATGTGTATAGAAGTAATTTGTAAGAAAACAGAATTTCATAAAAAGAGTATGAAATTATCTATGTCAGGTATAAAATTGGCGTTAAGCACGGCTGGTTTGCTTTTCTTAGCATAAACATGGAATTTAATTAATTGTGGGGAAATAATAATTGTCGTGCAATCGTGCGAATCCTTGTTTCCCACTTCCTAGTATTCAAAATGGGCAACGACATGATGCATCTATTAAAACATTCCTTTTATATACCGGATAACTCATACCAATTCAACTGAATTTTTGTTTCTCTAACTAATAAATTTAGGTAGATTCTATGGTACACATAAGTTATCATATTTTTATCCCCATGGACCAATGAAAATGTTGCAGTTTAATTATTTAAATCTAAATTAAAAAAGATATCATGATGTGGACCAATCAATTGAATGATAGGTACGGTATCCCATTTTTTAAATGGGTACCGGAGTTGTCACCATAAATTTATTCACAAATTTTTCTACTTGCTTTGGTAAAAAAAACCTTAAAACGAACATATTTATTGTCACATGACTCATTATGCAGATGAATAAATATACAAGACTGATAGTGAGCACAACCAAAAGGCATTTGACTAAAATTGCAAATTTCAATTAGAAATAATAAATTGTTAATATGTATGTGTAGGTTTTTATTCAAAAAACAAATGTATCTAAAATTGAACATATTTAATACTACGTATGTATGTTGCACTAATACTTGAACTTGACGATCATACACTAAAATAAAATTATATTGTACTATATAAAATTTGGCGATGTAGAACTACTAAAACAGTTTAATGTTGCATTAAAGAGATGCAACATGATGCTCTTTCATTACAACACAAATGACTTTAAAGATTTAACTTTCTTTTTATTGCTTACTTAAAGGCTTCTTTTCACTTAAACCACACAATGTCTGTCAATCTCTGTATTATCGTTCATAGGAAGCTAAGCTTCAAATATGTGATTCTTTCTAATCTCGCTAATAAATATCATGATTTTTTTATTATGAAATACTATGTATGTAGAAATTCATATATATCATTTTATTCTTTTCTACTCAAATTTCTATCACAACTTACCATTTTATTAATCAATATGTCAAGTCGTTCTAATAAAACAATAAATAAGGACCATGAGTGGAATAGGATATGGTAAAAATTGTACATACTTCCCCCATAGGAACCTCCAACAACAATGACCGGAGATTTTCGAGTATTATATTCCTCTTTTACGTGTAACAACACTTGTGCATAGTCTGCTAAAGCTTGAGCCGAATTGAAATAACCACGAAGGGTCTCATTCTTCATAGCATCTTCCATTGTTCCAAATGGAATTGATTTCCCATAAAACCTATGCTGGATATCAACATTTCTTTATGAGGAATGGTTAATTTATACATGTACACTATATAAAACAACATCAAAGGTTTTAAGAAACTACTACTTCGTATAACATTTATTTCTCTTTATGATTTATGAAATCCTGAGTCCATGCCAACAAATTTTTAGTTTAAACATGCAATTGATCCAATTAAGAATGTTTTTAATTGGAATGTAATTTTCTGACCTGACCCGGTTCAATAGATAGTCTTTCTATACGTTTTTACAAGGGAAAGTTCCCGAAATGGGACTAAAAAAGTTCGAAAATTCCAATATAGGACTGTCGTGTTTTTATTCCCAAAATAGGACTAATTACTGCCAAATTTGGAAAATACTGCCATGTTTGAAGTCTGGTACTGCCAAAACATGACAATAATTAGTCCTATTTTGGGAATAAAAACATGGAAGTCCTATTTTAGAATTTTCAAACTTTTTTAGTCCCAATTTGGGTAATATATCTTTTTACAACTATTGAAGTTTGGTCAACCAGTCCAATTTACAACATTTTCAGGATTAATACATAAATTTAACAAGCAAATAATATAAAAATATGTCAACCATCATATAAGGTCTAGGCCACTTTTATTGTAGAATGGTCATTGAAGAGATGAAACTTCTCATGCTATTTAAAAAAAAAAGTTTTTTCGTAAATTTGGATGGACAAAAACTCGGGTTGGACCATGCACGCATGAAAGGAATTTTGTTACGACTAAAATAAATTGAATAAAATTAGACGAGACTTAAACAAATCAAGTCAAACCAGATTAAGACCTTCCTAAAAGATCCTTTATCTAATTAAAACACTACTAGGCAATATCGGTAAGAAACCCGGCAAAGGCGGGATCATCGTCGATCGGAGCTTCGGCGCCGAGCCATGCCAAGATGGACCCACCAGGAGCCCAGTGCTGGGAGTTGACAATGTACCTCTGGTCAAAGGTGTCATAGCTCTGGGGTGCATAATTGAAGTGATCCAACGTTTGCTTGTAGTAAAAGGTCTTGAAATGGGGAGGAAGAGACGTCTCTTGTGCCGCGTTTGGTATGGAGCTTTTGTCGAATGGGGTGAGCCTGGGAATTAATTTGTGTGGCAGCAGAGATTTAGAAGAAAGGCATTGTTTTGAGAAGAAAATGGGAGGAAGAAGAAGAAGAGGAAAAAAAAGTAAAATTGAATCCCAATCTTAAAGAGCTTCATTTCGGTGGCAAGCATCAGTGGAAAATGTAACAAGATTATATAGTATATGCAAAAGCCCCTAGCCATCTAACCATTTTGACATCAATTTATTGATTTACTCCTTGATATGTGCAACTATATAGAGTCCGTTTTGTAAGACTGAAATTGACTGAATCGGTTGAATCTGCTTAAATTTATGAAATTCTGATTAAAGAGACTTAATTGGCTGATTTTGTTGATTTATGGGGGGGGGAATTAAAATACTTTTTAATAATAACATAAAGAAAAAAATATGAAAAAGTAGCTAAAATGATAATATGTAGTAACTTTAGTCAATACAACCACAAAAGTAATTTCAACCATACGGTTGAAATCAAAAGTAACGTGTGATTTGTTAATAACGTGTGAAATCAAAAGTAACATGTTTAGTGAAAAAACTAGTTGATAAACATGATAAGACGAAAATCAGGGTCACCTAACGGGCTCATATAATTGCATGATTTGTTAATCACCAGCCTTGATTGATTTTTTTGATATTCTTTCAAATACATTATAGTGTCTCCTCATGATAAAGACAACATCCTTATTACTCCCTCCGTCCCATTTTGGTTGTCCTACTTTCCTTTTTGGGTTGTCCCAAAATGAATGTCTTGTTTCCTTTTTTGGCATGAAATATGTGGTTCTTATTAATTCACTTTATTCTACTCAAATCTCAACCACAACTTTTACTTTTCAACCACTTTATTAATAATCGTGTCAAATTGAAAGTGGACAACCATTATGGAACGGAGGGAGTATATATTTATATATACGACTTGCTTTATGAAAGATCAACAGTGATGTTGTCAGAGTACAAAACACTTGATTGATTGAGAGTTTTAATCAATTGGACATCACTATTTACCACTATTCTAAAATTCGGCCTAATAGGACCGATTAACCGACCTAGTCGGCCTTAATTGTATAGGATTAATCGGCCTACTTGACCAAAAAACGACCTAGTTAGCCAAAAAATCAGCCTAATCGGCTGCCTAGGTACTAGATGTCCCTCTACCGCTCAACTAGCGCCTAACAAATTTTAGAGCAATGATATTTACTATTTTTCTCACAAACCAGCTTAGTTGTCCTTGTGGTTAAGAAAATCACTAGATGAGTAATAATAATAAATAATCTTACCACGAAAAGTTCCATCATTGATTGCAAACATTTTATTTTGATCAACTCTTCTATAGGAAACCTAAGGAACATTCCACGAATCCACGCACGATGATACCAAACCTTTCATTTAATATTATTATGGAAAAATCCACATCAATAATCCCACCTATTTGGGTTCTTCTCATATTAATCTCATATATGTGTAATTCGAGAATAATCTGAACTTAAGAGGTATCCTTCCCATAATAGTCTTAGGTGACCTGTGACCTGTTTAAAAGGTAAACACCCTGAAGATATATCTTCCGGTTATGTACGGTCGGGGGAAACTTCAGCCATCTCCCTCTTGTCGCCTCCCACCTGATAATCTCTTCTCACGTCCTCTTTTTCTCCTTTCTCCAATTCTCCTTATCTTGAGCCTGTTACCTAATCAACTAATCGTGTTTGGGCAGAATAAAATTGAACAAACTTTCCAAAAAAACAAAACAAGATAACGGGGAGGATGAAGGAGCCATATCATGCTGTCTACTGTCTAGGTTCAAAACTTTCATTCCGTATTATCAAGGTTTAATTTCTTTTAAATATGAAAAAGGGAGGATGAAGGCTTTCTATTCTTGCCTCCCGTCAGTCGTCACTTTATTAGACATTTGTATCCCCTTCTCGCCTTTTCCTTTCATCCTCTCCAGTTCAAGAAAGGCCCAAAGCAAGTTATTTTACATTTTTACTTAGAATCAATTTTGAAGAGTTGCCTTATGTGAATGGATCTTGCAGGAAAACATGATTTCATATTGAGCTCTAAATACATGTTATTGGAATGTGTGGCTCCTACTAGAGTACTAGATCCCCATTAAGAACCGCTCGTACTAGATCCAAAAGAAAACTGAAAAAGAAGGAGATGAAACAGAGTAGAGTGGTGGATGCGGCCTGCGAAGGAAAGAAAGAGAAGAAAAGAAATAACTGGAAAATAAAAAATGTGAAGCCCAATTATATTAAGCCACGTGGCCGAGCTACCTACTGAACTTGTTTATTCAAGTCACGGTTCATTTTTAGAAGCTGCCCAGTATAGTTTAGATTATTTTAGAATTACACATAATTGAGATTAATACGAGAAGATTGTCAATAGATGGGATTATTAATGTGAATTTTTCCTATTATTATTTATTTACGTCAAAACTACTTTAATTTAATTCACCTTTAAATTACGCTCGTTGGAAAATAATTGCTCCCTACATATAAATCCGCCGCTTTTGCTGGGTTTAGCGCACCGGATCGGGAGTCCTGTCTAAATTATACTACCTCCTTCCCAAAAAGAGATGCAAATTTGACTTTTATTAGTCAAACAGTCTCGTTTTGTTTACTTAATTTGGATGTCAATTTTTAATTATGTTCTAATTTGGAGTTTACAACTTTGAAGAGATTTTAATGTAGTTTATGAATATGTAAATTTTAATTATTAAAAATTGAATTAATTATCCATACGGAGGGTTGACTTTTATTATTGGTTGACCAAAAATTGTTGACTTTGCAAAACAAATTGGGACGGAGGGAGTATGTTTTTAGCTTTGAGCTTTAATTTAAATTAAGATGTTTTTAATTAGACTTAAATTTTCTGATATAGTTAATTTGGTCTATTATATTTAAGCTAAATCTCGTAAGTGTAAGACTAATTCGGTCTGATCTAATTAAACTAGTCTGATCCGGTCACGTCAATGTCTTGTCTCTATGTATTTTATAATTGTCGAGTTCTGGTACGGTATATTTTTGTCTGGTGTAAGACCGAAATAAGTCCAAGTAAAAACATCATGAGCCTGTTTGGTAGCATGAAAATCGGCTTATTTGGCTGATTCTGCTGAAATTTATGAAATTCTGGCTGAAGTGGCTGTATTGACTGATTCTGCTGATTTACGAAAAAATTGTTTTAAAAGTATATTTTACTACTAAATGTCATGTAGGAATTTTATCAATTCAGGACCCGAAAGATAGATTAATTATCAATTTAGGACCCGAAAGATGAAACGTATCAATATAGGACCCGGATGATGAAAAACTATCAATTTAGGACCTGAATGATTGGAAACTATCAATCTAGGACCTAAGTTGTCATGAATTTTATTATTATTATTATTATTTTAAAAATTTTAAATATTAATTAGTTTTATTAAACTAATAAACTTTTGTGAAGAAAAGTTTATCAAAAATTAGTAATGGATTTAATAACAAATTAAATAAATCAAAACATATGAAATATTAGGTCCTAAATTGATAGTTTTCCATCATTCGGGTCCACTACCGATACGTTTCATCTTTCGGGTCCTGAATTGATAATTAATCTAACTTTCGGGTCCTGAGTTGATAAAAGTTAAATGTAAAAATAGCTAAAATGATCATCTACAGTAACTTCAGCCAATACAGCCAGAAAAGTAACTTCAACCTTACTTTTTTTGCTTATTACACAATTCAGGGCGTGAAAGCAAAAATTACGTGTTTGGTGAAAAAGTTGGTTGATAAGCCTGATAAGTCGAAAAACAGTGTTGTCAAACGGCCTCCATATATATCATTATTGTGCTAGTTAATATTTATCTCTATGAGTTAAGTGTGTTCTCATACAAAAATAATCGTTAATGACACATTATTTCACTAAAATGAAATTATATACGGAGTAAATGATATTGAGTTCATAAGGTATGACTAACTTTGAGACATATACATATGACCCAATTATGGTTTGTGAAAACGTTTTAGGATGGAACAATCTGGGAAAAAAATAGACAAATATAGTACGAAGTATAAGATGGTGACTCATAGATTAAGAACATATATGAATAAATTGAAACAGAATTTCCATAAATTGAAATTATATAACTGATATCAAGTTCATAGGTATGACTAATTTTGAAACATAACATGCATATGATCAAATATGGTTTGTGAAAACGTTTTAGGATAGAACAAACTGAGATAAAATGTGAAAAATATAGTATCATAAGATAGTGACCCATAAATTAAGAACAGAACATGGATAATGTGTCTTTGATAAATACATAAATTGCTTGTTTTAGTCATACAAGGTAACGAGAATTGAGAAAAATGATTTGACTATATCCAGTAGGTCTTGATCCGGCATGGCAATGGGTCGGGGCGGGGCGGGTATTGCAAGACCCGGACCCGCCCCGTGACTTGGCGGGGCGGGTCCGCCCCGCCCCGTGACCTGCACGGGTCCAAACTTGTTGACCCATGACCCGCCCCATGCGGGGCGGGTCCGGCCCGCCGCTACCTAATTAGCTAGTTTTTATTTTTATTTAGAGGAAGTTGTTACCAATTGAATCTACATAATGTTTATCTCTAAATAATAATTAAAACTCAACATATTAAATCAAATTCATGATACGCTAAAAATTTCAAAAATTAAGAAAAAATTACTCAAACTTGAATAGTTAATCTAATTAGTTATATTAATAATTGAATAAATGTATTAAAATTCTATATATATAAAGAAGACATTGATAATCCGTCGTGCATCTCATTCTAATATATATTCATATATTATAAGATCAAAGAATTTATGATTTATTGTATACACACATATGTATGTTTAAGTATATTTGTAGTATAAGTTAAGAAAAAATATGTATATTTATATATTGAGCGGGTCGGGTCGGGGCGGGTCGGGGCGGAACGGGTCAATTCTAATACCCGGACCCGCCCCATTGTATAGGCGGGGCGGGGCGGACCCGCCCCATTTGCAAGACGGGGCGGGGCGGACCCGCCCCAAATGTCTCGGGCCAGGACGGGTCATTGCGGGTCGGTTTTTTTTTGACATCCCTAGTCTTGATGGTGTAATTAAACGGCATTAGCCAACAGAGGCGGCTTCAATTCACGACAACAGTTAATGGAGCAAGGTAGAAAAAGAATATCAAAAGGTTGA